GGGGGGGGGGGGGAAGAAAGGGGGGGGGGGGGGGGAGTAAAACTCGTGGGTTGAGATAAGAACCATTTAATAGGACAGTAAGGAAGAAAATAATAATGATAATAGTAACAATAATAAAATGACAATAATAATAATAATAGAAGAATTGGAATATGCAAAACAAGTGATGCACAATGCAATTGCTCACCACTCACCAACCGATGCCCAGTTAGTTCCCAAGCAGTGATCCGCACACCCAGGCCGACTCCCCCCAGTTTATATACTGGGCATGATGTCCCATGGTATGGAATACCCCTTTGGCCAGTTTGGGTCAGCTGCCCTGGCTGTGTCCCCTCCCAATCTCTTGTGCCCCTCCAGCCTTCTCGGTGGCTGGGCATGAGAAGCTGAAAAATCCTTGATTTAGTCTAAACACTAGTTAGCAACAACTGAAAAGACCAGTGTGTTATCAACATTATTCCCATACTGAATCAAAAACATAGCACTATACCAGCTACTAGAAAGAAAATTAACTCCTATCCCAGCTGAAACCAGGACAACATCCTAGAGCGTTTTTCTTCTTAATTCACTTTGCTCTGGATTGTCTTCTGTAGGACTCTTTGGCTAGCCATTAATGTCAAAAACAAAGGAATGATAAGTATTGTGGTGTGTAACCTCAAAATCTGGCTCCTTGCCACTTTTTCAACTCATGCTATCCAGGCAACAAGTCAGCCAGCTTCTCATCTTAAGAGAGATTTGCATAAGCAAACTCTATCAGAAATGATCAGAGCTGCTTAAACGACTTTTGCCAGCTATTTCCTGCTACGAAGCCACTTAATTAGAAGGTGCTGGTAGCTGATGATAGCTTAACGAGTTATGACTGTGAATACATAGAGTGTCTTGAAAATTTATATGTTGCGTGTGAAATGAGCTTTTATTTGTTGCCAGATAGAAAAACAAATGTTTGCAAATGCTAGTGGCCAAACTATTCTCTAAAACATACAGGTGCTTGCAGTAGAGGACAGTAAAGTAGTCATTTGAGAGGGATGTCAGAAGTTTATGTAGTGTTTCCCAAGAATTTTGTGTTTAGTGGGCAGGAAAAAATTACAGTTTATATTAAGGGGGTAGAAAGGGATCAAGGGCATAGTAGGAAAAGCAACCAGCGAAGCATGTAAATTAAAGCAACCTCCCAAACACTCATGTTTTATGTCACTCTGCTGTTTGTTGGTTTTCCTGTAGGCCCATTTCCAAATTGTCAGCAGAAGGTGTAAGAGCGTGGGTGTTTGGAATATGAGCTGCTCTGTTTTACATCCTGTTGTTAGGATGTAATCCTATTTCATTTCAGTGTGGAAGCCATGATTTTTTTAACACATCTGCTGAAAAGCCAGAATAATACTCCTTTACAACTAGTATCTTATCTTTAAACAGCCAGGTGATTTAGTCCCCAGATACTGTTTTAATTTTAAAATCTCCCAACTATATTGTTATTCATAAAAATTTCATCTTGTATCCCATTATTTTTAAATGCAAGTATTTCACATATGTATTTTAACACTAGCTACTGACAGCACTCTTCATATGTCTACAGATCAGCTTTACTCATTCCACATTTTGGATGGCCCCAGCATCTCTTACAAGTTCCTACCTCTGTTGTTTAGTTACATGTTGCTGAGGAACCACTACAATTTACAGAGCATCAGTTTGAGGTTGCTCAGTCACAAATTAGTTTGGCAGTGGCAATGGGAACAGTTATCACTTCTGTGTACAAAGCTGAGTGCACTGGTTCTTGCACCTTCTCTCCCCGACCCCTTGAATTCCCCAGCACCTACAAAACAATTTACATAGCTATTGGGCAAGTAGATCAGGGGACTGACCTGGATGAAAGCCAGTTTGCATTAAGTGGTTGGTTTTTCCTGTGGAATAATTTTGTGACATAATATGAGACTGCGCCCTAGGAATAGTAGGGGAGAAAGAAGCCCTTAGGTCAGTATTGCTGTCAAAAGCTCTGTTTTGCCAAACCACAGGGTTACCTTTTATGCTCCCCACTCAGTTGTGATACAATAAAGAGAAAACAAAATGGGTCTATCAACATGCTGAAGATCAGGAATGTGAGCATGTAACTTCTCACCACAGAATAATGGATCCAAAACGTGCCCAGGATTTGAACAATTTAGGTCTTTAAATACTTGCTGATTTCATCCTTGCTTCTGCAGCTCTTATGTGTGTCCCATCTTGCACTGTTCTGGTACTTCAATTTCAGTCAAAAGCCATTCAGTACACACTTTCCATAATGGTGAGACTTAGATGGTTTTAAGAGCGTACTGTAAATGATCCAGTTTGGTTTAATCGGTGGTAGTAAAACTGCACAGTCACATGTGTCAGCACAGGCTACCATTTTAAGTAGTGTGTCCCTTAATTTTCGTGAGAAGTAACTTTCTGATTTACTGTTACATCAAGTTAAAACACCCCACCAATAACCTACAGCAGAGCACTCAACTCTAATAGGATGATGAGGGTGACTGGAGAAGAGGGAATCAGATTCAAGAAAGGTGAAAGCCTGAAAGTGCAAAGCGACATACGGGGCAGGTTTCACGGCAGATACACATAGCTCCAGTGCACAGCACCAACCTGTAGCTCGTGAGCAAAGTTATATTTCCAGCTGCTGTATCCAACTGGTAAGATAGTACATAACCTATGTTTGTGGCTAGCAAAGAAGCAACAGTACTTCAAGGAAAAAGACCCAAATAAAAGTGTATCCAGTAACACACGCCAATTACAATTTCAATTTATTCTTTATCAATCTATTTAGCTTTACAACGAGAAAGAGAGTGGGAAATAAAGGACAGTAGCACAGCTAACTGAAGGACATAATGGTTTTATTTACCTTTTCTGCCTCAGTCCCCGTTTCTAGCTGCTGCTTCTGTTTAATGCAGATCTGCCCCACTTTAGCCAGGAGCTCGTGTGGGTGAATGAAGACTCGTGAACTCAATAGGAAAGTGAAGATATAAGTCCTCTGTGGAAGCAGAGAGAAAAAAAAAACAAAAAAAACAAAAAAAAAACAAAAAACCCTGAGTTGTATAACTTTAACAGAAATAATCCGTCTTCCTTGGAAAAACTATTCCATAAACCACAAATGTAACGTTCCTTCATTTAAACTTTTTATAATTCTTCCTGCCTCCAGAGACGTGGTGGTCTTTTCTAGCTCTGTAAAAAGGAAATGTTGTAGGCTTCAAGGCTGTTAACTGTGGTGTTTTCAGATTCCTAAATTATTTCCCTTTAAAATGCCAAACTTAATATGCCCAACTAGTCATCACTCGCCAAAAAGACAAATGAAGTATGTCTGATGTAGGGCATTATGCCTCTTGAATGCCACTATTTCTGCTGCTTTGTTTCTTTAAGAGTGATTGTTTTTCATTGAGCTGCAGAAAACTGCTTCATGTGTATTCCAAACCACAGCTGTAATTTCTTCATGTATGAGGGTTTTTTGTTCCTTTTTTCCCACAATCACTGACACAAGGATTGTGGCCATATGACAATAATTTAGTTTTAAGCTTGACTTCTTTGGGGCCTGTTTCAGAGTCTTTTGAGTATGAACACTGCTAATAAATGCCAACAATTATAACTTCTCATTAGAAATAGCCTCTCCATTTGTATTTTAAAAGCTGTATTGCAATGTATCCTGAATCATACTCTGGACAGTTCAGTTGAAGTGAGAATCCCTTCATGCCCTAGTCTTGCTTCAGTGTTTGAAATTTGGCTTCGTATTTGAATGTAATTTCCTGAGTAATGACAGTAGCACCTCATAAGCCTAAAGGAAAAACAGAAGTGCTTTCTGACAAAATTTGGAGTTAGGAAATTGTAGGGGATCTCCTTGACAATGGATTTCAATAAACATTCATTATGTTTGCAGTGTATACTGTTACTTTGCACCATGTTTTTAGAAATGTGATTTGGCAGGCCACAGCTAAGTGTGCATATAAATAGTCAATGTGCACATATACCACCTTGGACTGGCAAGTAAATTGAGACCTCTAAAAACTTAAGACCACCTGTCTAAAATGTGGCATCTCTGCTATCAGCTACCAAATTCTGCTGCTTGCAGTCTCTAAAACACACTTGTAGTTAAACAATAATGGTATCTTTAGGACTTCAAAAAAATTATGGGGTTTATCTCTCTAATCACAATAAAACATGCTATTAATGAAAAATGTTTCCACTTCTTCAGTACTCAGCGTGCCCTATAATATAAATTTAGCACTAAAAACTTCCAAATATCAGAAGGGAGAAAAGGAATTTTTTTTTTTAACAAAATAAAACTAACTAAAAGTCACAGTGTTCTGGGAGTAAGTGAACAGTATAATAGATTAAGCATATATCTGTTAAACATCCAACTCTGTCCTGAGCTTGTGGAGGAAGCTAGGGAAAGAGTGGAGTGTGATATAGCTGAGGCATTTAAAATGCTCATTCTGATTTGAAGATCTTACTAGCACTGGGGTTCATGTATTAAATTAGGAGCAGCATTAATTCTCTACAATCAGAACTGGAGTTAATCCATAGTCTTTGCCTCCTCTATTGTTTATGAAGAGAGGAAGAGAGGAGGAGAAGGGTTGGCTGGATGGACATTACGGATCAGGTTCTTGAGTAGCGCTTCCACTGATGCCTACAGAAGATGGACAGCTGGGGCCACCTAACAATCAGGCTTTTGGTGACTTCGAGCAGGTGGCCAGGGCAGTGACAGGACACTGACAGCGTGGCCTCCATTCTTGATGGCGTGGTTGCAAACATCCCACACAAGTGTACATTGGGAAAATTTAAGAAACTGGGCTTCTGTCTGGTATTTTGTTTATGTCCTTTTCCAGAATTTGGGGGTTTTTACAGTTACAATGATAAAAAATGGAAGTTCATTAATTTAAGAAAGAAATTCAATGTAGTTCTTACGCCTACATCTAGAAACAGTTGATGACATTGTGTCAGCTTTGGAGAAGCTTTATAAAAATCTATAGTAGGGTATGCAGTGTGTTATGGACACTAAAATTAGGCTGAAGAGCTAACCTGATTCACAAAAGGGGACTTTGTTGTGTTATGGGATAACGTATCACATCTTTTATTCTTATGTATGTAGGAATGATCCCTAAACTGTTACACTCCCCATTCGGAATGAAAGCAAGAGAAAGAATAGTGTTGGGCTGTGAGATTTTTTTTTGGGGGGGGGGGGGGGAGGTTGGGGTTGTTTGTGTTTTAAACTATGCCTGGTTATCCTCTGTTATTTTTTCGTAGCCAACTTCTGCATTCATTTCTATCAGTGTTGTCTCTGAACTTAAAACTGTGAGTCTGGACTATCTGGAAAAGGAATTTAGCTGTTGGGTGTGTCAGCTGTCACTGGTTGTGTGAAAATTTTTGTTCTGGAAACATGAAGCAGCCCTCACTTTTATCATATTTTGCATTTGAGAGAGATGGGGAATTAAAAAAAAAAGTTATGGACTTCTGATACTTTCATCCCTTCACCACATTCTTGTTTTGGGAGTTTAGAAGCCTGTCTGAAAGATGCCTGTACATGTAAGTAGCAGGGAACCACAACTTAAGCCACACTGCCCTGCAAGTGACCTTTGCTCTGATAAGCTGGAACACATTCTTTTAAGGAAAGATGTAATTTTGCTTCTTGTACCAATTCTAGTGTTGGTCTCCTTGGTGGAAGTTTGTGTGATGTGGGACAGTGTTTATCCAGAGTGACTCTGAGAAAGGCCTACTCAGAGTATCATTTCCCTATTGTTATACTGCAAGAAAAGTGTGACCCAGATGGCCTATGCTTTTATTTGGTTTCTTTGATATGTTTTACATGATGTTCAAAAAAGTGCTGAACTGGCAAGTGCAGGAAGATACATGGCCATAGAAGTGTGTACTTTCCATTTTAGGGTTGCTGATGTGTCTCTAATCAGCAATATCTGTACTGGACCCACGCAGTGCTTTTCCAGACAACACTGGACTACTAGGTTTTAGAAACAAATTATTATTACTTCTGGAACCCACCTGCTGTATTTTTAGTCAATTTTTTAAGTCACTTACCTGGAACTAGGTTCACTACTTTGGAAAACAAAATTGTTCCATTATGGTCAATCAAGATATGCTGGTTTACAACATATTGTTATCTAACTGGGGGTGGGGGGTTCATACTTTTGTTGCTTATGCTGGCATAGACAAGGAGTAACTGCAACTAAGAACCAAATTAATGATCATAGGTTTGACAGTAGTATTGACGCCCATCTCCTTGCCTCTCTGCTAACAGCCACTCCCTATCCAATAAAGAAAATTCAGGCTGAACTAAGCCATACATTTCAGCTTAGCAGTAGGTCTTGGGGCCTAGGATCACAGTTATTTTGAATAGGAAATATTTCATACTAATGTCACATGCCTTATCTAGATCAAGGATTTCTGTGATTTGATGCACCTGCACTACTATACCTATATAGGCTAAATGTTATAACAGTGTAAAAACCTACACTATCTCATAGGCAGTCCCCTAATCATGAAGCTGATGGTTTGGAGAAGGAAATTTAGCTATGAAGCTAGCTGGTTTGACAAAGATTGATTAAAAAAATGCTTCCATAAGCTATGAGATTGAAAGTTAAGCTCCATTTATCCTACAAAAGTGACAGGTATTTAGGAGAAGAGGCAAAAAAAAAAAGTCCTTTCTGCACTTGGAACAACGTAAGCTGATATAAAAGGGGCTTGTGCTTTACAAGGGAATAAGAAGCCAGATTCCTTTAGTGCCTACAGTTGTTGCTAAGAGATGATCTGAATTATAGTTAAAAAAAAAAAAAGTGTGAGCACACAAGCCTAAAGAAGGAATTGTTAATCTCTGACCCAAGAATGCACTGATGTCTTCTTGAGGAGGAAAAAAAGAAAGAAAAATATTTTCTTTGTGCTCTCACTGCTCTTTCTGGAACTTCTTGTTTGTGAAATATTTTCTTGAAACGTTTTCTTGCTTGGGCACAAGGGTTGCAGACTGGTACATTCCATTCCTAACCTCCCGAACTCTTCTGTCTCATGAGTATACATTTTTCTATGTGCTGAACAAGTCCCTGTACACAAACAAGCCTCAAAAGAGCAGTACACAAATGTAGGCCCTTATCTTTCCCGTCCTCCCTTGCCTGTCTCATGTTCTGCCAACATGGCAAATACATTTTTGTTTTGCCTCTGTAACCAGCATAGAAAGATACTCTGTGTTTGCTTTTTCCCCCACGCCCTTTTTTTTCTGTCTGGAAGGTTACTGTGATCTTTTAGCTTAATGTCCACACAGGTGGGAATGCCTTCCAAGTGTGGTGCTCAGATGGACTAATCAAAACATTTGGATGAATACTGCAACTTACACATATGTCACTCTGAAACTAAGGTAATCTCTGCTAAGGTTACCAATAGCTTCTCGTGGTGCAAATTAATAGGTGATGCCATGCTGCCTGCCTTTGCATGTATAGCCAGAGACATGTGACTGAGAGGTGTTTATACCTTTCTCTTAAACATACAGTATTGGCCACTCTTCTGACAGGATACCAGCATAAATGGCTATCACTCTAACACTCTGTGGCAACTGAAAATAGAAATGAGCATGAAATTAAGTATAAACATGCAACTGAACTGGAACAGGAAACTCGGATTTGAGGATGACTCAAATACAGCTCCTTCTTTATGTTGTTCAAAGCTTATTTATCTACTCACTTTATAATTAATCCTTTCAGCTAAATTGGGTGAGCTGATTTAACTAAAAGCATGTGTCCTGCGGTAGAGGAGATGAATTTGGTTTAATGCTGTTTTCCATGTCTCTGTCCCTGGAGTTCCCTTGATTGCTTCTGTTGTATCTCTCTCAGCTGTCAGCTTGCTGTCTATTTAAACAGCAGCCTCCCAGGGTGGGGTCCGTGACTGCTTGGTTTGCAATGCTCCCTTGCATGGGGTATGGGATAGCACGATGGAAACTAACAGCATTCCAAAATAAGTTGTAGACCCCTTAAGTAATGCTCACTTTATGGAACCAGTTTCAGAGTAGCTGTGTTGTAAATAGATCTTATGTTACAAGTTACAATAAGGGATGTGCATTGGCAACTCCTTAAAAAACTTAGCTATAGTCCAGAAATCCAAGCAGCAAGTAACTATATTCTAGTATCACACAAAAGACAAGTAACTGACTCATTGGAAGGCTTAACTACAGCAGCCTAAAGCTATTCCACTGGTACATCATACTGGCTCTACCCGCTGCTTTCTTCTGCATGTCTGTTCTACAATATGTATTTGGGGGCAGGGAGAGGGAGCGGAGATTGAATGTCTAACAATGGTTATCCCTCTGTATCTTATAAAGGACTTGGTACTAAGTCAGCATCTGTCAAAGGTAGTACAGTTGTATGTTAGCCATATTTAAATGCAAGGTTTAGGATTACCTTTGAACTGGAATGTTAAAACATCCTGGGTTTGCTTTTTTTAATCTTCCACTGATGATTGCTGGCAATTCTGCCGCTTATACCCACTGAACTCTCATATGGGGAGTCCCTTTAATGTGCATGGTGATTGTGAAGATGGGTGGTGTATATGTGGGAGCTTGGAGGGACTTTATCATGACTGAAGTGAAACCACAGTAACAAGTTTTATATGAATTAGACTGAGAAACATACAAGAAGATACAGCACAGCCTGCTACTGCAGGCGTTAAGTTCAACATGCAAGTTAATAGTGATTGCAATTTCCTGCCCCCTTGTTAGTCTTTACAAAGAGCTGGGATGCTTCTGCCATAGCTGCCACTTTTTCAGAGCTCAAATGGAATATATGCTATATAGCCTCTCTGATCTTTGGCAACTTGTTTAAATAACATCTTTCATTAATGGATACAAGGGTAATTTTAAGTGATAAAGTGATCTCTTAATAATATCCTAGGTTCAGAATCTTACTGCATGCCTTGGAGTTAAAAGTAGTATTTACTTCAGGGGACTGCACTGAGGATGTTTAATCAGTTCCAAAATCATTTTCAGGCTCAGAAATATACATTATTACAGTGCTGGCCCATTAAAATGTCTTGAGAAAGAAAGCATTTTAATTAAAACCTATTTTCGTTTTTTTTATGATGGCCTAACTAGGAGATGCATAGAAAATTAAGGAAAAAAAATACTAGAGCTGATTTCAGGTCTGCTTCCCTAGGTAGGAGCTGGTTAGTAGTTAATCTTGGCTGCATTAGAGCTAAAGCAGCTTAGAGGGATTGAAAATTCTGTAGCTAATGCTGCTTTTAATTGGTTCTTAAGGCACCCATTTGGGTTCAACACGGCTTTATCTTTCTAACAAGTGTTCTCATTTAAAACCAGAAAGGACAGTATCCCCATTGAGCAACATCTTTAGTGAATGCATATTGCAAGTAAAATAAATGCATCTTTAGCCTACATCTTAATCTTGAATCAGGTGGAGGTAGAATTTCTTGAAGAAGCACCAATCCAGATACTAATGCAGTAAAACCATGGGAAGGAAAAAAAAACCCAAAACCCTTCAGTGGCTACTTACATCTGGATAATAGTCCATGGTGGGCACCAGCCGCTCTATCAAGGCCTCCAGTGATCCAGAAACAAGGTTCCCATCCTGATAAACAGGGTCCACACACCTATCTCCCATATCTGGCTGCACTTGTCCACTACAACTGGAACCAAGCATGGTGGAAAATATTGGTGTCTGGGGCATAGTTTCCTGCAGAAGCGGCAAAAAAAAGAGAAAGGGTTAGGCTTTTTTTCAGGATGCCTTATGTGTGGGTTTTGCAGAGGCATACATTAAACACAATTACATATTTCACTGAACGCAGCCTGGGCATTCGAGCTAAGTTCTGAATCCAAGCAGTCACACATCTGTAAGCTGGCTTTGGGGTTTGAAATGTACTTTAATCTATGTCACTAAGGCTGTAGATGCAGAAGCTGTAGAAATTTTCCTCACTGTGCTTGATTTTTCCTTTCTCCCCAGTTTTCCCCTGGCTCTTTATGCATAAAACTATGCAGGGATGAACATGCAAAATGCTTTCTGAATTTCAAAGATACTGAAGCAGTGCCTTACTGAACAAACAAACAAAAAATACTGTGCCTTAATGTACCTCTTTTTGAAGTCGGACCTTTGACCAAAATACTTGATTTGTGATGATAAATCATTCACCACTTCTGTAGCTAGATGTAATCCAGGTCTCGACAGTAGTGCATCTTCTCCTGCACATATACATCACTGGCAACAGTAGGGTATGTACTGTGTGAGCAGAATTGCCTTTTTTTGTACATCAAACCGTGAACTGGGTGGAACTGAATGCTGTGACATATACTGTAACAGCCAACTCGAATAACAGTGTCTTTGGAGATTTTTGCTTAGGAAACAAACCTGCTGTTGCAACACCAAAGCCACACAAAGGTTTGGGGTTTCCACCCCCCCTCCTCTTGGCCACAAGCTATATCAGTATACCATAGTTACCAACTGTGAGTAAACTGTGGGGGTTTTTTGTTTGTTTGTTTGTTTTAAACTGGCTACAGCTTAAATACATGCAGAAGGCTAAACAAAACATCCTGCTACTCTGTGTAAAGGTTGAAAATACTATTCGGCAGCAGTATCAAAACAGTTCTCCCCCCCGCCCCGGGCTGCTGAGATAGTTAAGACTGCTTAGAAGGTAAAGTGCAAAGAAGGCAGCATTAACTCTTTAGCTGCTGTCTTAACATCTATGAAACAAATGTGATATTATCACACTCTGAACAGCGCTTAGGTAGGTAAAGAGGATTAGGCCATTACCAGTACCTTTAAACTGACAGCTGTTTCTAACTGCACTCAAGTCTTATGCCTAAGTGCTCTCTAGCAATTTTTCAAAAACTAGTTTAAAAGACCTAAACCCTTAAATGCTATAAGGTGTGGGCTTTGGTGGGGTTTTGTGTGTTTGTTTTGGTTTTAGGTAGCTCTTGAAACAACTGCAGAGCAAAACTACTTTGTATTCTTCTAATGCAAGGCACATTCTTCCTCTCAAACTCTCCAAAGCGATCATTCATGTTTACAACCTGGGATACAAAACATTTTTCTGTTTTTAAGCTCAGATGAATGCTAGGTACGTTGGTAAGGAAAACATATCAGTATTAACAATACTTGTTCATCAAGGTGACAGATTTACTTATGTATCAAGCTGGTAAGTAGAATTGTTTTGTGGCTTTAACCAGAAGACTTTTATGTACTTGTACGTGACACAGATATAAGGGAAGTTAAAATACAGCAGCTGTTTAACAGCGACTAGGAGGGAGACTACTCTAAGGAGTGGAGTTCAGTTTCAGAAGTTCAGGACAGAGTCAAATAAAACAGAAAATTCAGTATCTAATGGCATATCAAAAGAAATGAAAAATGAGGATTCTGCACAAACATGCATTAAGGTTACTCGGTATTTCACAGATTTATCTGTTAGGCCTAAGCTTTGCAGTACACAACAATCCGACAAATCACCGGAGCATATGATGAAGCAGCCAGCTTTGCTATGCATACTATGTAAGTCGCCAGCAATTTGTTTTCTTCCCTTTTAAGGTCCGTAGCAATGAAGCCGAAAGCCGTTTCTCAGGCTGGACAGGCTGTGATGGGCACTTCAAGCTAATAATATGAAGTTGCACAGGGCTTTACGGGAAGTTAACCACCAACCCAGCACCTCCTGAGAAGATGCTTTAGGAGGAAACGGGTGCCGGTTTTGCCATCAAGTGTTTTCAACTCCGGTAAGACGTTCGCTGTCGCACCGGTGTTGTTTTTACAGACCCTTTTCGGGAGCAGCCTCGACGGCTCCTGGCCGGATGGCGAAGGCCGGGAGCCGAGCCCCGGCTCTCCCGGCGGGGCTGGCTGCTGCCACCGGCGCCCCTTTCCTTCGGCGCCAGCTCCGGCCCCCCCCAGCGTAGCCCAGGGCCCCGACCGCTGAGGGGGCGGCCGTTAACACCTCTGTCCGCAGCCCCCGCGGCCCCCGTCACCCACGCGTTCCTCTGACACTCGCGCTACGCCACGGCTCCGGCTCCTCGGGGGCGGCACCTGCCGCCCCCTGCGCCCTCCCGGCGGCGGCGGTCGTCGGGCACCCCGGGGGCCGCGGACGGCCCCCTCTCGCCCCTCTCTCCCCGCCGCAGCACTCCCGCTCCGCCGCCGCCGGCGG